AAATCAAAGAACCAATTTTGCATGAGAATAACTGTCTAACTGTAAATACTCTTCTGAATAGAGAAACCCTTAGTTTATGGATTTTCTGAGGCTGTGAACAGATAACTTTTTACAGATATAGCTTCCCTTTTCTGTTCATTGCTTCCACTCTGACAGATTATATACTCTGAGCTCTGAGTGCAGTAACTGTCAGCAGAGAAATGGTATAAAAAGAATTCTGAGGTGGGAGGCTGGTGGAAAAAACAACTGTTCATAAAACTAAATTCTATTTACTTCTTCAAGTACAAATAAACTGTATATTCTGATTCTTCAAGTTAACTTTAGCATATGGATAAGGTAATTCTATGGCTGCAGATACTTAGTAAATGCTTTTATCAGATTGTAAGTATATTACAATTATAGAATAGATCTCTATTTACAGATTGTTCACTTGGGGTTTGACTTCAACATTTTGGGGCTTTTTTCTTGAATTTTTTTCTTTTTTTTTTATTTGCCAGGCTTATTTCAGAAAAGCCACCAGGAAGTTACTGGGTTGAGGTTTCTGTTGTAGAAGTGTATAATAATGAAATTTTTGATCTTCTGGCCAAAGACAGTTATGGAAAAATGCTTGGCATCAGACGTGATGTTGTCACAACCAGAGAAGGGAAGAGCGATGTGCCATTGCTGACACACGAGTGAGTACCCGGCTTGTTCCTACCATCCAAACACGAGCTGCTGTTAACGCCATGTAGAGCTGTCACAAAATTGCATTATAGCACCACATTGCTTCTAAACAATGAGTCCTTACCATATGTAAAAGAACAGTTCTGTTTCTGTTAGCTCAGTCTATTAGACTGCAGTTGGCTGCAAATGTGAAAATACTTCCAGAAATAAATGTACAATTACTTTGAGTTATACTCCTGTATTAAGTGTCTTCCACTCAGAATGCCTGAAGATTCATATTTTGTTGGCATCTTGTCAGCTGTAGAAGAAGAAGGGATAATCTAGTCACAAAGCACTTTCCATTCAGTCTTACTGAATTATAAAGTTTTCAGATTATAATAGAAATTTACATACCAGTTGTAAATAGTTAGGCAGCTGTACGGTGTTAGCTTTCCCTTTATGCATTGGAGTTACAAAAAATTAGAATAAGATTTTAAGTGATCTTTTAATACAAATACCCATCTTAATATTGCTTAATGTTATCTTTTCATAACTGGAGGTGTTAAAGCTGGAATTGTTATGTTGGCATTTCAGCTGGTAGGTATTGAAAATCGACGTTCTTCAAACTAAAAGCTAAGAAGCAGCAAAGCTTCTCACCAATCCTTTTAAGATGTACCTTCCCAGCATTGGTGTATGCCAGGTTTGATCCTTATTTACACAACATGACAGTGTAGGGAGAGCTGGAGTATTTAAGGACACAGCTATACTTACTTTAATGCCTTCTTTTACTTACTAAGCATTGCGAAGATTTGTTCTAGTACTCAGGGGAACGATTCTTGGCATTATGTTAAGTGTGGCACACAAAGCAAATGTATAGTGCTTTCTTCCTATATATAAAAAACTTACCATGGGTAAGTTTGGTAGATGGTTAAAAGTCATGTGTTCATAAAACTTCATCCATTAACAAGAGGGAATCTGTTTGAGATGCTTCATTTTAGCAGTAGCTGTGTTGTTTATCGTAGAATGTCTGAGTGGGGAAGGGGCCCACAAGATCATTGAGTCCAACTCCTGGCCCTGCACAGGACAGCCCCAAGAATCCCATTCTAGTACCTGGCCAGCCTGTGGCTGAAAAACCATTTCCTAATATTCAATGTAAACCTCCTCTGACACAGCTTCTGGCTGTTCCCTTAGGTTACCAGAAAGAAGAGGTTGGTTCCTGCCCCTCTGCTTCTCTTCACAAGGAAGTTGTAACTGCAATGAGGTCTCCCCTCAGTCTCCTCCAGGCTGAACTGAACAAGTGACCTCAGCTTCTGCTTATGTGGCTTCCCCTCTAGACCTTTCACCATTTTTGTGGCCTTTCTTTGGGACTTATGCTAGTAGTATCAACATTAGCTAGGAAAAAAAAATTAGGATAAGCAGTACTAGTAGCACCAGAGAGGTGATGGTACCCAGTGGAATGAAACTGGACATCTCTCTGTGAGCACCCAGCATGAGAACAGATTCCAGAAGGGAGCATGTGCATTATCAAAATGTCACATAAAGAAGTGTCCTGCTCCTTGAGTAAATAATGTTTGTGAAAAGAAACATCTTACTCTATTGAAATGTTTAGAACAGCATTAGAGTTTTCTATGTTTCTGAGGAAATGTGATGCTTTTCTTTGCTTCTCTGTAATAATTCTTGTCATGGTCTAATCTCTACTTTTCCAGGAGGAATTAGCAGTGAGATATGAAATGCATCCCAATGCCAATTAAATAAAATGCACCGTCAGTGGAATTAATTTTGTCCTGTGGGACTTAGTCACATAAGCAGACCAGTAGTTTGTTTATGTGGATTTAATGCTATTCCCAGCAAGCCTTGATAAAAATACAAGAATGTACTGGAGCATTGTGGAAGGATACTTCTATTCTACCTAGTGATACACATTTATTGATTTGTAATTTCTAGCAATTTAATTGCTCATAGAAAAGTGGGAGCCCAGAGAAACTGTCGAGTAGTTTTCTTCACTGTGAGAGATAGAGGATTCTCCTTTCTTTCTATGAAATAATAAGCACTGTAATATTCTCAGAAGGATTAACATTTGTATCTGGTGTTTGCCTGCTCTTTGGTCTTGAGGTTAAATACAATTTCCATAGACATTCTGCAAGCTTGATTGCACTCTGCATGTTCCATAAGAATTTGGAATGAATTAAAAGTGATTGGAGCTTAAAGTGATGAATCCTTTTGCCCTTTCTGTCTGTATTATGCTGACTAGTGGGTTTCTCTCTGTCTCTATTCTTGTATTTCCCCAACTGTGACTCTACTCCTACTTTTAGTATTTCTTTAAGGCTCTGCTGTCCAGGGAATGAAAAACTCCAGAAGAGACTGGGAGCAGAACTTAACTTGTGTATACTGAATCTTTCTTGGAGGAGCTATCTTTTCCCTTTGACTAGACAGGAAAGGAGCTATATGACTTAGAAAGGGAAGATGGGCGCATGTAGTGTAGGTGTGCTGGGAGTTGAACTTTCCCTGTTTCAAAACCTCCACAAATAGTTTTTAATTATGGTATTTCAGTAACTAAGATGCTGGTCTGGCATAATTTTATTCCTGAAAAATGCTTGTTCCACTTCCCAAGGGAATTTTGCATAGTTAGTGGGTGACCCATCTCTTTTCATAGGTTTTGGAAAAAGTAGAGGTGAGAAGCAGTGGGACTTGTGCCATCGAGACAAAAAAAAAAAGAAGCTGCAATAAGGTTTCATTTGTCCTTCTAGTTAATAAAATGGCTGCTCTGTTTATTTCTGTAAATTTTAATTTATGGCAAAGGAACCTGGAGCCTTGAACTAAAACTCTTAAAAGCCACTTATCTCAATCAGTTAATAATAAATTCTAATGCAAACATAAATAAAAATATGGCATTGTATCTCAATTACAATGCAAGTAGTGAAAAAGTTGAATTTATAAACAGGTTATATTAATAATTACATAGAAAGGTTAATAAGAAAAAACAAACCCAAACAAAGTAAAGGAACCATTGAGTGAGGCCACCCAGCTGCCTGAAATCAAAAGTAAACAATTGGTGCTTTGAATAAAAACACATCCTCATTTATGATAATATTTCACCTAGAATATATTGGCCTGCTGGGTCTCATTGGCTTCTCCATATGTCCACTAAAGTACAGTAGTCTCTTTCCTGCTAACACATTCATCTTATTGAATCACAAAAACCTCAGTCTCTTTCTTCTTTTATAGCTTGGTTGACTTTGGAGAGCTTTCAGCATCAAATTTTTAATGTAACCACAATAGGGCTTCTCTTTGTAGAATCTGGTCCTGGAACGTGTGGCACGTAGAGCACGATGAAGTTGTAGAGATTATAGTAAAATATTATTTCTGTCAGTCCTGTGGAGAAGCTACTGTGCCAAGCTTGCCACACTGGGCTGGGGATGTTGCTTGTCTTCAAAGCCAGCTTCAGCTTCCCAGCCATAGGCGACCAGCACTGACAGCACACCCTGAGCCCTGTCTTCCTTGGCAAATACAGGCATGGGGCAGCAGCTTGGAGCACTGACCCTTTGCCAGCTCACAGCAGCAGCTTGCAGAAGCCAGCAGCCTGGTGCTGCATCCTAGCCAAGGCTGCTTCCTTGTCAGGCCTTCCAGTCCTGGCTGACTAGCCACTGGAAGATGCAGTTCAAGGCTTGGGAAGGCAGGATGTGTGTGCCTCCTTGGATGTGAGGCAATAGCCAGATCACCCCAGTGTCAGGCTCTGACTGTAGGAACTAGAGCCACTGGGTCTCTGCTGGCACCAGGTCAAACAAGCAGGAGACATCCCCAGTGGGTGCCCAGAGGCCGGCATGTGTGGTTCAGGATTGACAGGGGAAGTCTGTAGTGATTATTTAGCTCATGCAGCCCTGGATACGCAGGGATCTGCACTTAGATGGCTGCTTCTCCTAAGTGCCTGGAGATATGGTGTGGCCAAATGCTTTTCTGTGCTTCAGAACCCTTGTTTTGTTTTTCGAGGAAATTGTTTTAGTTGAGTACAGTTTGTTTTCTTTTGTTCTTCTATCTCTAAACTCTTCGAGTATGGCATAAAATAAGTTTGTGCCTGCTGTGACTTTTACTGAAATCACCCAAATCTAAGTCATAAAGACCTTACCTTTTATCACATGCTTGCTTTTGCTGTCTGCAGCGCTGTGGAACCAAGCCTGTGGCCTGTCATGGGACTTATTAATGGTTGTGCTGTTACAGAGCATTCAGTGACCAAGCTGTGATACACAGTCATAATTTATACCTCCACTTAAAAACAATTGTTTAGGTGTTGTACCTTCAATGATTATTGAAGGCAACACAGAGAAAGAAAAGAGTAGGCACTCTTACCTCATTTGTTTTAGACATTGCAAACCTAGGGAAAATCATAGTGGGTTTTTTCTTTACCTAACCAGTTTACTTCATTTTCTGTGTTTATTTCACTGTGTGTGCTAGGTCTTTGCCCTTGGATTGATCATATTTGCAGTACTTCCTTTAACAGGAAAAGAAAACAGATAGTATGAGATAAATGGTCTATAGAAATTTATGTCTATTTTTTCTGACATTGTGCTTATTGAACAGTGCAACTGGACGTTTTTCCTAGGGATTTTGGATTTAATTTTAAGAATTAGGCAAAACCTAATAATCTAAGAATAGGCATAACCTAAGAAAATTAGCTACCTGAGCATAAATTGGACGAATCTACTTCTGTAAGAAGAGATTCCAGCAACGTCTAAACCTGTGTCTTTTCTTCCAAAGTGTGGAGATATAGAAATGTCTATTGTTTCAAGAGCTGAGCTACAGTACTTCTGGACCTGCAAGGCTGGCAGGCCACTTCTGCAGCACATTCGGGACTGCATCACAGCTTTTGGCTTGAATTTTCATCTTTATCCCACCTGAAAAATACAGTTGTTTGTGCAGCTCAAAACTGAGAGTAGTATAAGGAGGAGAGCAGGGAAGTGGAAATGCTCATTCAAGGTTCTCATTCAAGTTGTCAGCTTTGTTGTGTGATTTTTCCTGCCAGTCAGTTAAATATCCCTTCTGTTTCTTTACTTCTTAGGACTGTTGAAAATGCATCTGAATTTTTGCATCTAGTCAACAAAGGCCTACAGCTGAGAGTCACGCACCCAACACTGGTGCACGCTCATTCCTCTCGTTCTCATCTGGTAGTGACACTGACCATAACCACAGTTGTCTTTGGAGATAACTTTGGTAAGTAGGATGTTACTAAAATATATCTAGACACAGTTGTTTACAGAAGAACAGTCTGTGGACTGGGAGGTTTTCAATTGCTTTTTCTTACTTTTTCTAATGTTTGATACATTCTCTCAGTTCTTTTCCATTTTTCTAACTTTTATGTTCTTTCTTAAATAAAGATCATTTTCATGTTTGGTTGCTACTTTCAGTTTCATAAAATGTTAGCACTTTTCTTTGCATGCCTTGACTTAGAGAGTTGTTGAAGTTTTATTGCATGAGGCAACTAATGGATAAGTATTATCAGAAAGTCATAAGATAAGGTATAAGATAATAAAGATCTTGATAAGGTAGATACTCAAATAAAATAGTTAAATCATTTACAATGAATAATTACATGTCATACAAAGTTTGTGGTTAAGCTAATCATAAATTTTAGGGATCATCATATGCTTTTGGTTGAGTAAGAATTAAATCTATTTACTCTCTGCCTAGCAAAAATGTCCTTTAAATTCAGAATCTTTTGAACTTTTAATAATAGGCCTGTATGAAAAGACAAAATACTTGCCCTATTTACTATGGCAACGTTGATATTTCTACTTTTCACTACCACACCACGACTTACCAGTTTTCTTGGTTGAGGAACAACTTTATTTTGGGGCTCTTGGGGGTAACTTTATTTTCTTTTACTCATATTATAATTAGGCTCTCTGCTTTCAGTGCTGTGTTCCATCTCCTTCATAGTCTGCAACAACAATATGATTTTGGAAAGTGGGAAATATTTAACATTTTTTCCCTTAGATTGCTATCAGAAATTTAACCAACAGTATCCGCAAAGCAGAACAAACAGTGCCCCCTCTTACCTATGGGCCTTGCCAAAAGACACAGTTACTTCACAAGTTGCAGCTCCAGCATTCCTGATGCTAACTCTAGCCAGCTTCAGATTCTTGTCAATTAGACTGATGGTACTTTTCTAAACTCAGTGCTTGCACCATTAGCACAGCAGCCATCTTGTCTAGTCTAGAATTCCTTTTGCCACTTCTAATTGCAGCCACTCCACTGTGCCAGGTTGCCTGGCAGCAAAGCTCTGCAGAAATGTCTAACTGTTGTTGAATGCAAATGGCAGCTTTTGACTCGCAGCACATGGGTGAAGATGTGCACTGTAAGGGAACAGAGCAGCACTGCAGCTGCGACCTCACTGCAGCAGTGTGACAGCACTGCCTGTCTTGTTTAAAAGGAAAGGATCCTGATTTAAAAGCTATTGTCAAATATGTCAATGTCAGATACCTTAGTTACTAAATAAAAAGTTGTAAAGTCTGTGATGAGTTCTGCACCTAAAGCCAGAGTTGACAAGCCAACATTTTTTCAGGTTTGATGAAGTATTTTAGCATTTTGATCAGTATTATCTGTTGTTTGAGGAGAGCTGTTTCTTAATTTCATTGTCTAAAACTGCAGAGGAGTGAGAACACTTAGTTTGACACTGTTTGGCCTGAAGCCATTTATTCTGTGTAAACCAACACAGCTGCTCTGCCTACACTGTGAAGAGCTGGCTCAGGGTTTAGCAGCAGCCTACTTGGGAGAAGTACAGAGCTCTGTTATGCAAGTCAGTCTGCTCCTTAGTCAGGTTTTGCAGTTGGCTGTAAGCACCCAAGGAGGTCTGTTGTCTCTATGACCTGTAGCAGAATATGTACCTTTTATTCTTTTGTTCTTTCAGAGAGAGAAATAAAGAGATAAATGAAAACCAAAACACTAAGAAAAAAACAAACAAAAAACCCAAAAACAAATGCTTTGGGAAATCCATTTTGAACATATTCCTGCTAAACTAATGTGAAAGCTTTCCCAGAGAATTTTTGTCTTCCTTCCCAGCAAAGAGAGAAAGCCAGATGCTTCTGCTGAGGAATGATACTAGTAGGTAGCAGGAACAAGCAGGAATAACACTATTGAGGCTAATAGCTCAGTGTGGAGATCTTGCAGTGGGTTATGAGGAGTGAAGGAAGTGTAGGGGTAACAGCAGCAAAGGACAATATAGAAGATGCAGGATAAGGATTGGGTTTTTTTTGCCAGAGCACCAGCAGGTGATGTTTCAAATACATAGTACCAGTTTTCAGTCTACTGCTCCCAAGCATCCAAAATTGCGCTTTGCACTCAGTCTAAAACTCTTTTTAAAAGCCTCTTTAAAGTCCTTACTGGACTCTCATTTCTTGTTTTCCATACAGAAATGTGAACAATGGGGATGTTGGATACAACACAATCTACACCAAAGCTTGTTACCAACTGGTGTCATCAGTTTGATGAGTAAAACATCAAATAAGATAGAAAAAGTCATTCAGCCTCCTTGTGCCATGAATTCTGACTTGTACATTGCTTCTGATAGAATAGCCTGAAGCAGCAGATACTGTAAATGCCCTACTGATGCCCCATTTTTTCCCCATCTCAATTTTCAGTGTCAGTGAGAAGCTCTCTTTTGTTTTTTTTTCCATTAAACCAGGTACTTCATGGGAAGATGAACAAACCAGTCAGAAACTAAGTAAAGAGGCTTCCTGCACCTTTCCACAAAAAATGAGAGACAATAAATCCACCTCTTCTTCCAGAGCCTCTTCACCAGTGCAGCTTGAAGCAGCCGAGAAAATGAAGCAAGTTAAAACGAGACTGCAGCTGGTGGACCTGGCTGGGAGTGAGTGTGTCGGTAAGTGAACGTATCTGTCTGTGGGCATGGATCCTCATGGATCTAGATTACAATAAATGCCTTAGTTCTTTATGGAGGGATATGCTACCCAGCTCTCATACAGGCGTGATTTGAACCCACAGATCCTGGCATAAACAAAATTTTGAGGGATGATTGATCCAGTTTTACACTGGTATAGTTTAACTGAAAGTATGGCTGTATAAGCTTGAAATAAGCTCAGGACAGTTACCCATATCATAGATACACTGTTTGTTCAGACTGCTTTTATTAGGCCTGTTTCTCTACTCTGAAAATTAGCATGTCTTTGGTACAGAAATGTTTAAAGGGCATAAATTATTTAAATATTACAAATATCTGTAATAATTGATATCACCATGTGTGGATTTTTCTGCTTTATTGTGGAAAATGTCTTGGAGGGAATTAGTGTTGAAAAGATAATATTGTTTTCATAGTTTCTTCAAAGCATTTTCCTCCTGCCTCCTCTATGCACACAATAATTTCAAAAACTTGATTATTTCCTAAAGGACAAGTTTTCTTACCAAGAAAAACCATGCAGCCAAATGTATCATTCCAGAAATAATGTTTTGAAAAGTGAACCAGTATTATGAAAGAGTCTTTTACTTTACTGCCAAGAATTCTTGCTGTTGCTCACTGTTAAACTTTTGTTCTACAGAGAAACCTAATATAATACATTATTTTTTCATTTGCTCTAAATGCTGAAAACATGTAATTGAGCAACAGGGCGTGTGTTTGTTCTCTCAGTTAAACCAGGACAAACATTTCCTTGGTTTGGGGCTCGGCAGGCCAGATCCTCCAGTGAAGCCAAAAGCGCTGTGCTCACATCAGTGTCAGATGTGGCCCAGCACACTGGGGCAGCAGACTGACCTCTGCCATCAGCCGTGCTGATGGACACACTCTGCTGAAAGTGAGGGCAGTGTTAACTCGTAATTGTTTTAAAATGTGGGCAAATCTAAGTGAGCAGCAGTACCTCAAGCTTCTCACACACATCAGCACCCTGCCCTGTTGGCCCTAAATCCGGCCTGGGTCATTTGCAGCATTTGGAAGTGAATTGGTCCCTTTTTAACAAACTATGTTTCATTTTGAAAACTCAGCTAAATACTTTGTCAAAGTTCATCTAACCAAATGCAGATAATCAGCAGTTTAAACATGTACCCCTTCCCCTATTTGCAGTTTTCTCCTTTAGGAAGATAACTCTTATCCCAGGAGTCCACTTTTCTTTGATATATAAGAAGCCTGGGGATGGCTGTATATATAATGATCTCAGTAAAGTTACCTTGAGATTCATCCTGTCCTGGATTGTTATCCACCCTTTGGCAGGGTCTTCCAAACTGTTTTGCTCTGTCTCTTTCTGACAACTGAAGACTCTACCGCTCCAACCTCATCGTTTCCCACAGTCACAGTTCTACAGCCCTCCTTGTCCAGACTCCTGGGGTTTTTGCTATTATGGTACCTTTTCACATTTCATTCTTGAACTCCTCCTTTGCTAGAAAATGCTGGCCTAAGGGGAAACAAGGTCTCTAGCCACTCTCTGTGCCTGTCTAGAAATAGGAGTAGGCAGTAGAGGAAGTTGTTGGCCTCATCTGATCATCCCAGTGCTGTTAGCTCTGCCTGACATGGATCATGTGCTCTGGGTGACTGCGGGTGCATCTGTACCTCATCCACTATCTTCAAGAAAGCTTGAGTTTGAATAATGTGATGCTATATGCTAATAGCATATTTCTCTTCCTCAAATGGCAAAGGTAAGGACAACAGGAATTACTCCTAACTGCACCCTCATCCAGACTGATCAAAGAGTTGAGCCTGCATCACCTCTTCGAATTGGTGCAATGTGTTGCATAGACCAGACCTTTATAGTGCTGCTCATGGGCAGCATAGCTACATAGGTGGTAGAAGGGCATAATTTTCTTTTATCCATCTCCTTAAAGCAATTCATGCCATAAAACACCACGCCACAGGCTTTGGTGCACACAAACACTTCACACTTCTGCTTGTTGTATAGTATTTCGTTCTGCAGCTTGTGCCATCAGTGCTTCTCCTCTTTTTCCTAAGTGATACAGATGGAGCAGCTAACGATTATAAAAAATGGTGGAATAAAACAGGCTTCTCTTGGGGTCCATTGCAGACTCATGTTTCCAAAAGCAGTGTTGTCTGATCTTAAGGTGTTCCTATTTTCTTGGTTCCTTGTTCTTAATACATATGGAGCCAAAAATGCATTGTACCTCTTCAGAGATCAGCTTTAACATGAGACGCTTTGGACCATCTGTAGACATTGAATATTCTTTAACCTATCCTCCACATTACAGTTTTGAAGTAGCTTTGCTTAGTGTTACCAGTGCCTTTTTCTATGCTGTACCAGGTATGTCTGGAGTGACAGGGGCAGCGCTGAGAGAGACCTCCTTTATTAACCGCAGCTTGTCCGCCCTGGCTGACGTTCTGGGAGCAATAGCAGAGCAGCGAGCTCATGTCCCATATCGGAACAGCAAACTTACACGTCTGCTTCAGGACTCCGTAGGTGAGGGATTATTCTGATTCTTGTTCAACAACAGATTTCTTCTCCTGATTTTTCCTGTCCTTTGCTGTGTAAAACTAGATGATCTTATACTCCTTGCTTGAATGTGGCCTCTATTTCAAAGACTGGCTCGGGAGAGTGTGAGTACACAATGAGAGTTTTGAACTCCTGAATTTGGCTAAACCTTGCTGTTTCCAAAGCTCAGTTGAAGAACAGCATCTCAATAAGATCATGTAAAGGGAAAAATTTGCATTTCACTGATGTTTCATGTCAGGTACAGCTTAAAAGTTAAATTTCAATCTTTATTATTACAAGGTATAATCACCTACTTACACATTCCTTAACATTGTGCCCTGTAGCAGCAAGACAAAGGAGGAAGACAGGACATGGCAGTGTCCTACAACTTTCTTTTGTGTTGGGGTCACTTCCTCTTCTTTAGCCCCTCATCTACACAGAAGCAGTTTTAAAGCAGGTGTTATGCAGTAATGTCAGATTTGTGTGCATGTGTGTAGTACGTTAGTCCATTTTTCTTCAACCAGAAAATATTAGCCCTTATGCTTTTAATCTCCAGTTAAAGACATTGACAGTGAATGAGGTCACAGTTCTTCAGTTTCTGAAATACTATGAATTTTTTGCTTAAGCTTTGATTTTCTCTTAGTACTGGAGTCCCTACTGTGAAAAGGGAGAACCAAAAAGAGAAGTTAGAGCTATGTTGTATGGGCGCTGAGCCTGATTTTAGCCAAGTCTGTAGTATGACTTTGGTGAAGTGCTGAAAATGGCAATTTCCTCCTTTGTTGAATCATTGACTATAAACTTCAAGTCTGTTTTGTTTCTTGCTACACAAGCCATTTTGCCATTACCCCAAATTTACAAGTATTTGACAAAACTTAACTTAAATAAAGACTGATAACATACATGCTGATTAACTGATGAAGCTGGTAGGGGAAAAAATCTACATTAAAAATTGTGAAACACTTGGGGACAAATATCATATTGTTAGATACAGACTCCCCATGAAAGAGCTGTCTGTTTCAACAGCCCTCATCAGGAGCATTCTGCTTCATGAAACCGATGGTAACCTGTGCTCATTGTTGTGTATACCACTATGGTAAGAATGTATAACTTACTGAAAAAAATGAGGTAAATAAGTATGTTTTGTGTTTTCCCTGCTTTTAGGAGGTGATGCTAAGCTGTTGGTGATGCTGTGCATCTCTCCTGGCCAAAAGTACTTAACAGAATCGATGCAGTCTCTGGGATTTGGAACTCGTGCTCGGCAAGTTCAGAGAGGACAAGTCAAGAAAAAAACTTTCCCAGTACTGAGTAAAGGAAAATAAAACCTAAGACTCCTGTGGATTTAAGTATCATTAATGAGTTCCTCAGATGGAAATGTGTATTGTTGTCCTTAGGCCATTCTTTTAGATACCAACTGCCAGATAAAAGAAACAGTCCTCAACATGGCATTAATAAGCAATAAGCCTGCTAATGATGTTCTTGCTCCAAAGATAATAGCAAGTATTGACGACAGCTACCCACCATGGTAGAAGGGTAGAGAAATAAACTGAGCTTTAAGATGTAGCTTTGGTGATGTGTTTCCTTAGTTCTACTTGCCCTAAGTCAACAGGACCCTGATTTAGGATGGTTCACTTCTGAAAGGGCCAAGGGTGTATTCTGTCTTCTCAGTAGAAGTCAGGAGTCTGAATATCATTCCAGTGCTTCAAAGCAGCAAGTAGAGTACTTGTTCCCTGCTTGGATTAAAATGAGACACATCATTTTTTGATTGCTCTTCTATCTAGCTTGGATGGGGTCATTCCTAATGCACTAGCGACAGGTAGGAGTGTAAAGGAACCTGTCAGCTGTACTGAATGGAGTTTTGTTCTCTGGTTTTAGGTATGAAATAATGGCATTAGTGAGATGGAGAAAAATGAATAAGGCTGTATCTGTTATCCCTCTGGAATGTAGCTCAGAAAGCAAATGAGGGATTACACAACTTTTTGAAAATACACTTAAGTTAAATGGTTGGAATGAGTCCCAGCTCTGCTGAGTTCATTAAACCCACAGCTTTGCCTGTCTGGGGGGTATTTTTGCTCCATGAATGCTGAGACGCCCTGAACTACGGATCCTAATGGGACCCAACTTGTACAACTGTTGTAGTAATCTGGCCTATGTTTAACTTGCATTTCTGAAACAAGTTAAACACATCATAACCTTGAAGCTGTGCCTGCAGATTAAAAAAGGATAACCACACAAATAAAAGACCAAACAGTTGCTTTCACCTGCAAGAGGCTTTCACCCTTTTACACCAATGGTGAGACAACATCACGCAGGGTTTGTGAATGAAATGACAGTGGAAGAAGTTTCAAGGAGGTTTAAGCAACGTTAGAGGTGAGAAGTAGGTCAAAGATGAACAACTTGGTTCAAGCAACAGCTGATGTGTTCTGTGCACTAAATTATTGCTCAGCAGAGGCCTCAAGAGCCACTCTTAATTTTTTTCCACCAGCAATTGCTCTGCCCCTAGACTGGAAGAGAGGTCATTGTTCGGTCACTGCAAGAAGGCTTAAATTGCAGTGGCCTGTCCCAAAAGCTGAAGTTTACAGTACTCCAAGTCACTTAACCTTCACAAGCACAAATATTTATCCAAAGATTATGTAGCATACTATTATTGGAATTTCACCCTTGAATATATAACAGCTGCTGTGTTGCTTGCAGTGCTCTGGTGCTCAGAACATAAGTATCCAACCGGAGAGCTGTAGTAACACTTGCTTTCTTAAATTATGTTATGAACGTAAAAAATGCCTTAACTTTACCTGATTCCAGCAGTAATAGAGGGGTAGAAAAATCTGGCAACGGGAATTTAGGAAGCCGAGTGTTCAGTAAAGCAATCTCAGGTAAGAAAGCGTCAATTAGGAATGTCAGCCTGGTAAACGAAATGCAGGAGCAACTTCAAGCTCACTTTAGTCTCTGGACAGCTGGGCTACTAAAGCAGCCTGGATTACAGCTCAAAGAGAGGTTAAGTAACAAGGGCTGATTCCACCAGCAGTTAATAAGTAAGTTCAAGTATTTTAAGGATTTTACATTTTTAAGTGTTACACAGAAGTGCAACTTGCCATGAGCTGTACTTTCTTTTCTTTTTCTGAAAAACTGCCCTTCAAAACTTTGGATTTATTTATAATCCTTGTTGTAGGAGAAAAGGAGCAATACTTATTATTGAAGCAGAGAAATAAACCCCTCAAATATGAGTAAAAAGGTTAAGTTTCTACATTAACATTAACTCTGCCAAACTTAGAGTATGCAGCATTCCCTACTCCTGTTTTCCTTGTCAGCATAGCATATCACTCACTGTTTGACCTGTACAACAGAGTGTACAGGATATGCAGGGCAGCAGGGTTAGCATTTTGTTCTAACAACTTTCAGGTTTGGAATTTCCTGGGTTATAGAGATGTGATTGCTCAATCCCAGTGTCAGAAGGGAAGAAGGGTAAAAGTTGTAAGGGTGAAATGGCTTTACTCCCACGTCTAAGCTGAATTGTCTTCTGTCCCAAGAGTCGCTCAGGCCTGCCAAAGGAGGATATTCAGACATGTAACTGATGTCTTGGGGAGAAAACAGCATGTGCAAGACCCTATACTTCTTTGCTGTCATTTTTCAGCGTTTAGATCTTTCATGCTTTGAAATTACATCTATTTTAGAAAAGCAGATGTGACACATATTCACAGAGCTGACCCCAAGGTTTCCCGTGTTGACCAAAGCCTATCCTGATAAACCAGTCCTCACTATTTTGGCACTGTAAAGCTGAAACACACATACTAATGCTGGAGAAAGAAAGAAAGAAAATTGATGTTTGAAAGCATTCTGAAATATTGAGATAGAAGGGCATAAGCACCAGTAAAAAGGTGGTTGTTCTTAAGAGTACCCATGTAGTCTATATGCTAAAACACCTTTGCTCTCTGCAAGGGCAGGGGCACAACCAAATGAGAGTAAAAACAACATAAATTAGGAGATAATCCATTCAGTGAAGTCCATGTGTGCCTAAAGCAGCATTCAGCTGGTGTCTTGGGGCAGTCTCAACCCTGCTTCAGACAAGTCACTGGGTCGCTGTCTCAGAGTGCTGCTCAGTACAGAGGGGTGCTCTATCCATGATCCTTGGTGGTAGTCAACATGTTAACCTTCCACTGCTGGGCTCTCATTCTCCTCCCCTGGGCCCTGACTTTCTCCTGTGACATTTCAGTCACTGCTCACCTGTGTCACACCTCATTCTGTCCCCTGGCTGGCCCTAGGAAATAGGCACACATCCAAATGATCCTGCAAGGCACCACAAACACCAGCATCCCATGGGACTGGCCTTCAGGAGCTCCTCTTGAATTTATGCTGCTGCCTTCACCTGTAGTGGAGCTGAGCAAATAATTTCAGCAACAGTATCCAGAAACCTCCAGCTCTTCCTCAAAGAGCCTGCCCACTGCAGAAACCACAGCAAACACAAGAGAATTTGCTCTCATGAATACTTTAGGTACTCAGCATCCTGGTTTAGTGTCCAGGTGGCCAAGGAGCCAACAGTGTGAAGCCAGACCAGCACAGCAGCTGCCTGGGAGGCCCAGGGTCTCACAAGGCATGCAGATGTACCCCAGAGCACCTTATTTAAAAGTGGAAGCAGCTTCCACACTCCTAACTCACAGGCAAAGCATCCTCCCAGAAAGCAGAAACTTTGGATCCAGTTCAAAGACAAATGTTTGAGCTCCTGTCTCTCCCAGTACATGTCAATACTCTGGCTTGAAGATCATTCAGCAGATCTGGAGATGGGGCAAAGAAAATGGGACTCTGCCAGACCAATCCTCAAGGCCTAATAACAGCAAGTGCTTGTCTAAGGTAATATACACAGATGTGTGTACAGGTAAACCTACACAAAGTTAGCAGAAATCTAGACTTATTTAGAATCGCACAATGACCTTTAAAGTCCAAGTCCAAAATTTGGCCCAAAAGTACAGTTTGGTGCCCACATTTCTCTGTGGATTTATCATTACAGACAGAATTTATCAGCTGTGGTTGGTGGTTTGCCTTGCAGCCAAAGGAAAGGGATTAACAGGATAGATCCACTTTCAGCAATAACTCTGTCTCCCTAGTCTAGCAAGGGAGTCCAGGCAAATGGTTTATAGCACCAACTCTCAGTTTGCCACAGGCAGGGAAAGTGATTGCTCAAGGACTTAATCTTGAAGAACATACAACTGCTGTGGAGGGTTTTCACTTATGTTTTTCAGCCTTGAACCCTACCATGCCTTCTCAGCTCTGCAGTGCTGATCCAACACGTGCCTTTCAGCCTTTGCAAATCTGTCCCCAGGGCCCTTGCAGCAGCAGTCAGCTTTCTGAACTGGGAAAGGCAGCACGAAATGAGGCAGAGCAGATCATGTGGCACAGGAGCAGGTCTCCATCAGCTCTCTCTCAAGATGTTTTACTTAGCACCTGCAAGATATATCTTTGTGCGGGGCAGTTTACCATTTTTAAGCTTCGAGTGCTAAGCCCACACTGCAGTTCACAACACTCTGCACCCCCTCCAGACAAGCCCTTAATATTCCTCATCACCTAGGAGCACTCTTATTAGCAGAGCCCAAGAAAGCACTGTGATCCACCATTGCTTAAGAGAGCTGCATATCATCATGGGGTTAAAACAAACCAGTAATTAAACCAGACTTTTGCCCACTCTTAAACAAAACCTTGACCTATGCTGACGTTTGAAAATTATATATTTAATTTCCATGTGTGGCTTCATGATTTGGCAGCAGCCACACCACAAAGAGAACCTGCTTTTAGCCAGGCTAGAAAAACCATAATCAGCACTGGAATGTTCACAAAAATGTTTAATTTGTTATTAAATTGCTGATTCCATTTTATGAAGCACTTTTCCAAACCCTTTCAAAATGCGAGGAACAGGCAGAATGAAGCGGTTACTGGAAAAGGCTTTTGGCTCTTGCTGTGAAGAAGCAGTCACAAGCTGATGGGCTTGCAAGTCCCCTCCAGCTACAAGAGGCAGCAGCATCTGCTCATGGAGGAGCAAACAGGCCCAGAGTGCAGGGATGACCAAGGTTCTGCAGCCTTTCACAAAACCAGCTTGGCATTTCAACACGGACATTAACCATAGCTCCAACCAGATCAAAATGCCACAGGATCATGTGATGGAGGCACAAGGGGATCTAATTGAAGGGCACGAGAGAGAGGCAACACTGCCTACAACTATTTTTACATCCACTTTTATCAAATCATTGCATCTTGCAATGCATCTTCCTCTTTTTATTTTATTTTAAAAATAACTAAGATTAAATTTCAGCCTTCTTAAATTCATGCAAGTATCTCAAGAGATTATCCATGGATTTGCAGGCCTAAAGTTGCACTTCTGCTCATTTCCCTGGGGAACCTCAAATTATCACCCTCTTCTTCTCCCAGCTCCCCTGGCTTCATGTTTGCAAGTATCTCCTACAACACAATATCCCTTCTTACTCTGTTACATGAAGTTGCTATCCTGGCTGGGATGAGTCAGTGTCCAGCAGTTCACTTAAAGACAGCACCAGGAGTGGTTTTCCTTTTCATTTTCC